AAAAATTTATTACTTATGCGTTATTATTTGCTGAAGGGTTTTCATCGGATATGTTTACACAAACCGGTCACCTTTCACTATGATCCAACTCGCTTGTCTCGAGGCAGGCTTGCGTCAAAAAATGGATAGAAAATGTCTTGCTCTCGTCTTGCTCTTGTCTCGCGCTCGTCTCGCACTCGACTCCTCAGGTCTGGACGCACCATAACATGTGTTATAAAACAGCACAGATAAGATAATGGTCTAGTATAAACATATTCTCTACGATGCCACATCAACAACTCTTATAGAAATGGTACGGTAATAATCAGCTGCCAGCCTCAATGTGACAGCCTTATGAAGGTGGCATATGCAGACCGTGTGACGTTTTGTTATGATGCAATCAGTAACATTCCATCCTGAAATTATTCTCATTAAGTGCATGAGTATGGATATTTGATACACATGCTTAAATTCGTTCAATACCGTATGATAAAAAACGGCGTCGGTCGTTTTTTTTATCATATTTTTAACATCAGAATAAATAGGAATCAACAAAAGTCGTCAGCTATAAGCGATTCATTATTGCACTATTAGAAATTTGTCTTTCCTGAAAAAATAGGGTGAATGGAGATTTTTGCTATCTTCTTACCCAGTGCCATACTCAACATATACCTCTCTAATGTACCTGTGATGTGTCATCAGTGTTTCACAAGTATACTAAGGGCTGGCAAAGGTTAGTCTTGGGTCGAGATTTCCGTATGTAAGAAGAGTACAATAATGTACTGATTGCGTTTATAATGTACTGAACAAAGAAAGGACAGTAAGCACGTTGCCAAACGTATGAAATAAACCGAGAAACTGTGCACATCACTAAGAGACGTGGAAAGGGATATAGCAGATTTGTCGCAGTTGACCGGTCGACCCAATCAATACCTCTGTCAGTACTTAAAATTCTAGGGAAAGGTGTACGTCATGCGTTCAGCTTCACGATTTAATTACGTCTCGTGATATTAAATTTGTTTATTTATTAACGAGTCGTAATTTTCCCTGTAGCTTGAATTTTTTTAAGTGCAAGCTAGAAACACTTGCATTTTTGGTAAAAATAAGTGGTATTGAGTGGGTGTTCGATAGTGGTCGCGCTATTAGAACTCCGAATTCAAAAATCGATATCTCGAAATCTATTAGAAATAATAGGTTGCAGTTTTTTCAAGAACTTTGTTAAAATTTCTGCTGTATTTTCTTTGTAGACAGTATGTGAAAATCTTTATCAATAAAAAAATTACACGATTGCTGAAAATTGCTATGCTCTAAAAGTAAATGGATGGATTGTTTACAAGTTTTGAATGGAAAAAACCTTATCGAATTTTTCTTATGTAAACATATTGCAAAATATCCGATCTTGAAAATAAAAAAAAGTTCAATATCTAAAGTGGTTCTTGAGTTATGGCCTGTTATGTGTTAAAAAGTTGAGTTTTTAAATTATCGCGATTACTGACGTTTTCTCGTTATAAAAAAATGACACCCTAACGATATCCTTATAATTCCATTTCAGATGCTCAGAAACATGTCTAATGATTTTATCTAGTTATCTCTTGAAAAAAAAAGTCTTTTAAAAATAAGGTTTGCGATCGTGATTTTACTTTACTTGATAGGGAAAGGCGTATCGGCAACGCCGCAACAGCACACCGTCGCGCGTCGCGTCGGTCGGTCGCATTTCTCTCACTCCGACTTAATAAGATCCCTATGCGATTTACTTCCACACATGTAAATGCCGACCCAAAAGTAACAATTGCCAGCACGGTATAGGACCTACAGTTTATCGCCGAAGCCGAACGGCACTAGTTGAGAGGCTGTACAAGGCAAATATACTGAAGGTGGTTTTTCCATTTCCTTCCTTGAGGTGGAGGCTCCCTTGTCGCTCTATTTATAGTCCATTTCTTAAGGCTTGATAGCACAGCAAGAAGGAACAATCCACCATTGTGAATTAAATCCCATTGAACTTATATGAGCACAAATGAAAGGGTTTGTAGCTCGGAATAACACAACGTTAAAAGATGTGCTAGAACATGTCGATAACGCAAATCTCTTCCGAAAATTAGACAAATGCCATGAACCACGTCATAAAAGAAATGGCGTGGTCATTCATCGTAGTTTAATCAGTTATTAATGATTCATCATCAAAATAAAGGAGGTAAAACTTTTTGGGTAAGGCTGTCAAGTCTCAATCAAATGTCACGCGGTTAAAAAACGAAATAGCAATTTTCCATTTCTTATTTTCTTCACACTTCGTATTCTTTTAAATCAATAACAAATATAGCCAACGTTACAACTCAATGTTCCAATCTCAACTTTCTATTTAATCTATCTTTGTATTTAATAAATGTGTTGATGATCTTTATATTGTAAACTAAAATCGATCGAATCCTGAAACGAACTCAGACCTCCCTCAGTTGGAAATTCTGACTTTGACTTCAGTGACGATGATTTATAATCACATATTATGTAATTTAATTCATATGAAATACGAGTAGCTCTAAAACTGTTAATAACGTACTTTAAATAAGGCATTTGTAAGGCTCACTAGCTCTATCCATAATGAGGTAAATAATTATTTAAATAAATGCATGAACGATTCGAGGTGTAACGCGAACGAAGTCGCGGGAAAAAGCTAGTTTAATAATAATAATAGCTCCCGTATATAGTATTTAACGCCTTGGGAGTAGCAAAAGGTACAGCTTGCAATGCAAGGAAGGTAATGTGGCTAGCACTACGCTTCAACCGCCTATTATTACCTCAGGATTGTGAATCCCAAGTACTCATTTAAGGCTGAGTCGACCTAGGTACCTAAACTATTTATATTTTATTAGAAATAGTCGGCTGATGAACTGCCGGCTGTGGGATATTAATGTAATTTAATCATTGTAACTTAACATACTTAACATAGCAATGTTTTTGTAAACGTGTGAAATTCTTTTTTGTAGCTATGTTATTTATGGTTTGTAACCTGTTCTACATTCTTTTAACAATAAAAACTTTAGATTTCTTCACTAATATGTACGATAATTGAGTGTACTTGTATAATCCAATGTTACGGGTAAATAAATATTTATATTACCATTATCATATTATTTTACGTCGTGTAACAAAACATATTGCAACAAAACTTAAAATAAATCTTAAAACCCTAATACCCGTCATTGGTGCGATCAGTCCCTGAAAATATCTTTTATACCTATTGTTATACGACCAACCCCGGGTGTGTCCATCACAAATGTGTTAAAGCTGTCTGAATTTCATTGAACATATACCCCTAAAATGAAATTGGTCCCATATTTTCGCATGTTACACTGTACAAAACAAAACGCTTTTCAATTTATAATGAAAGTCTTTTGCTATCAAGCATTAAGAAATAGACTATACAAAAATAAAGTCACCATACTGTCTGGAGATCAAACCCAGTACCTCTCGCACAGCAGGCGATACACAACGGCTGGAGCTACGACCGGCCACCATATATTTGCTTCTATACCCCCAAAATAATTATAACACGCAAACCTTTTTATTAATTTAAATAATTTAATGTTGCAAAATATACAAATTTTACTTTAGATAATTATTGGGAAACCGGGAAATCGTCCGATTTTCACCAAAACTGGTATACACCCTATTTTGAGGTAGATTACGAATCTGAACTTTTTTCTGGCGGTCTCTTACTGTTGTGAATTTTTCTTAATTTCTTATATTTTTAAGGTTTTCTAGCACATATTTTGTTAGGTATTCAATAAATAATGAAGTTTTTACTATTTTCTGTTACTTTTTTAACAAATTCTATGTATAATAGAGGAAAATTTGCTAAAATAAATTTGTCAACAAACTGAAAATGTTAGGTTATGTGTTTCTGACATTTAAAAATAACATCATTATTACCACGAATGGCAATGATTATGTTTTATGGTGTAAATAAAATTAGAATTTTTTCTACTGACAAAGTCAAAATAAAAAAAAATCAAAAATATACCCCCAAAATAATTATAACACGCAAACCTTTTTATTAATTTAAATAATTTAATGTAGCAAAATATACAAATTTTACTTTAGATAATTATTGGGAAACCGGGAAATCGTCCGATTTTCACCAAAACTGCTATACACCCTATTTTGAGGTAGATTACGAATCTGAACTTTTTTCTGGCGGTCTCTTACTGTTGTGAATTTTTCTTAATTTCTTATATTTTTAAGGTTTTCTAGCACATATTTTGTTAGGTATTCAATAAATAATGAGGTTTTTACTATTTTCTGTTACTTTTTTAACAAATTCTGTGTATAATAGAGGAAAATTTGCTAAAATAAATTTGTAAACAATCTGAAAATGTTAGGTTATGTGTTTCTGACATTTAAAGCAATGTTGCCAATGCTAAACCTAAATTTAGCGCGACTTTTTGGCTCCCTCTGGGATTATAAACGAAAGGCGGTCGCCACAGGAACGGTTCCGTCCCATAACTGCCATTTTACCAGCGAGATCTGACTATTTATAACCACGAAGTTGCAGAAATAATTTTTATTGCATTGCCTTCGACTTCTATGCGGAGGGGGTTAATCTTTTTTTGTTATATCAAAAAAAGATTAACCCCCTCCGCATAGAAGTTGAAACCAATGCAATTAAAACTCTTTCGTGCGACTTTGTGGATATAGGTATATTTAACTATTGTCAGATCTCATAATAGGTAATTTATTTAAAATCCCTAATCTCCCAAAAAATACAAGAAAGGACAACGTTGCAAATTTTCAAATTTCTAAATTAGATCAGAATATATTTGTCTATCTCATTACATAGGAGAGAGAAAGATGGATATATGAAATGTCAAACTTCCATCTGGTCTCAAGTTTCTTTGTTATTTTGTTAAGAAAAATGTTTTTCAGTAAAATTTTGTACATTTTTCTATCCTCAATCAAGTGTGCCTATTAGATAAACTATAATATAATGAAATATAGTGAAATTATTACTTTATAGGGCTGCAATAAAGAAAAATTCTGTATACCAATCTTGGTGAAAATCGGACGATTTCCAGTTTTCCCAATAATTACCTTACTTTACTATCGTAGAATTAGCCTATAGTATGAAACTGTAACTGAAACGCCTCTATTCTCTCGCGATGTACTAACACAAAAAGAAGAATAAATGCACGAGAACCTTGGAATGCCCCTTTAAATGCATTAGTTCCTTTTTAGATCTATGCAAGTTAATTCTTTTTTCATTAATACGGAAACAGATACCCACCAGTATATCGCGATACTTATCTATAAAAAAGAACAAAAAATACAGAGATCACTGTTTCTGGAGTACCGAATACTCTGTCCACTCGACAACTTCATATTTATTAGACACACAGTCGAAGGCGCGAAGACTTGTTGATTATTGGCTAGCTTGTGCCTTCGGTTTAATAATGCAAGGAAAAATAATACATACAGGAAAACAAAGACGGTTAAATGCTCAGGCTCGCCCTCGTTTTGACGATTTTGTCGTCGTAGTGTAGGGCCAGGCTTCCGATTAGAGCGACCAGGGTGCGATCCAACCATGTTACCGGGTTGGGGTAGATCAAACCTCCCTCGTAGAAGCCGAGGTGGCCGCCGTGGGCCAGCTCGATGTAAAGCACGTTCGGTTTTTCAGCTGAAAATAAAAAAAAAAAGTAAGGTTAACGATTTCTTTTCCCTTCTCTATTCTTATGTAGTGTGAAATCTGAATCTCTACCAAAAGCTAGCGCAATGAGGTACTAGAGTAGTTTTGTCATCTGACAATTATAACTAGGGTTTCCAAATTTCGGGATCGGGATCCCGTTTTGAAATTCCGGGATTAGAACCTCTTATTATTATTTATCGCGGGATTGACTATCAGAATGAGAAATTTAATCTAAAGAAATACATAATAAAAATGTAGCTACATATATACAGGGTGGTCCGAACGGTATTCCGGAAACTTCGGGAGCATCTTCCGCAAACAAAAGTAAGTTAAAAAGTTCGTATGTCCTAAAATACTTAGTTTCGAAGATACAGGGTGTAGAAGTTTCATTTTTAATACGATTTTTTCCAAATAATTTCTGAAGTAATGTCAATATTCGGATGAAAATTGATGTCTGGGAGTTTTTCGACATGAGATATTTGATTTTGATGTCAATGTGACTCCTATTTGTAGGGGGCGCCACCTACATCTTTTAATTGTTTTGAAGAGTAATAACTTTTCGTCCGTACCTGCATAGAACTACTGAGTGAAAAAAAAATATATTTTCGTAATTTTTTACGTAAAAAATGTCTCTTGGTAAAAATCGCTAAGGGAAACCGTTCCTAAGATATTTAGAATAGAAATAGTCAATACATATCGTTATTGATAAAAAATAAAAAGTTTGAGTAGATAGTTATTTGACTAAAATAATAAATTTGAGAACTTATTATTTTTTTAAGTTAATCATAATTCTTTTTTGAAAAAACGATGATACACTACTTAAAGCACAACCTACTTAAAGCAGTTAAGAACTTATACCAGAACACCACAGCTAGAATAAAAATACGAGACTCATTGTCAGAAAACATAAAAATTACAAAAGGCCTCAAGCAGGGATGTTGCCTATCTCCTATACTATTCAAAACATACCTGCAACAAGCACTAAAAAAATGGATGCTTAAGTGTAGAGGAATGGGAATCCCCCTAATAAATGAGGACACCCTATACACCCTATTTTTTGCGGACGACCAGATAGTCCTAGCTCAAGATCACGACGACCTTGAATATATGGCAAGGAAGCTGATAGAGGAGTATAAGAAATGGGGGTTGGAGGTAAATATCACCAAAACTGAATGTATGACTGTAGGGGGGCCACAAGAGAACATAGTCTTAGAGGATGGAAGCGTGATAAAAAACTGCGACAAATATAAATATCTCGGATTAAAAATAACTAACGATGGAAAACTCGACGATGGCATAAAAGATCGAATAATGCAAGGCAGAAGGGCAATATCTATATTGAATGGTGTACTGTGGGATCAAGGAATCTCTAAAACTAATAAGAAGAATATATATAATACAGTAGTGAAAAGCATAATAACTTACGGAAGCGAAGTATGGCAGTTGAAAAGCAGAACAGGGAACATGCTATTAGCGACCGAAATGGATTACTGGAGGAGATCTGCTGGAAAATCGAAAAGAGAACAAATAACCAACAACAGAGTAAGGGAGATTATGGGAGCAGAACACACAATTGTGGACGACATAAGAACAAAACAACTCATATGGTTTGGTCATGTGCAACGAATGCCCGATCACAGAATACCAAAACAAATTTTACTGTGGACACCTCGAGGCAGAAATAAAAGAGGTAGGCCGCGATGAAGCTGGAGGGAGGGTGTGGATAAAGAACTAGAAAATAGAGAAATACCTGATGATCTCTGGAAAGGGCTAAATAGACAAGAGTGGAGGTTAGGTGTCGGAAAACGTCGTAGAACGTTCTGAACCGACTTCTATATATATTATATTTTTAAGTTAATCATAATTCTTTTTTGAAAAAACCATGATAAAACAGTTTCTGTTAAACTTTTCACAGCACAAAAGCATTTCAAATTTATGATTTCAGTCTAATAACTATTTAGACAACATGTTTAATAATTATTTATGTCAATGATGACAGGTATTGATAATTTCAATTCTAAATATCTTGAGAACCATTACTCGTAGTTTTTACCAAGAGACCTTTTTTACGTAGACAACAAACAACGCTTTGTTGTGCAAACAGCCAAAACAGGTTCATCGACAAAGCATTCACAAAACAAAGAAAAGCACAAAAAAATATACAAACAACAAAAAATACAGAATACAAATCATACAATTCAAAAAAAATTAAGTCATTAAAATTTCAAAAAGAACATACATGGACAATTGCAGAACAGTAAGCAGTAAATAGATAATATAATTTTAAGAGTTATAAAATATTAAATACTTGATCTTTGACCAGTGTGTGATATGATCAAAATTTTAAAATTCAAAATTGTTCATGATTAAACATCAACAAAAAAGTCGTTTACCGCATATAGGGCTCTCTCCAGTAAGTATGATTTCAGAGCTTTGCGAAATGCGGGAAAGAATGAAAGCGACTTGATACTCAAAGGCAGATGATTGTACATTTTTTTGGCATTGTACAGTACAGAACCTTTAACTAGTTCTGAGCTCGGGGTTGGCCGATAAGAAAATGTCGTAAATGTATATTTTTTACTCAGTAGTTTTATACAGGTACGGACGAAAAGTTATTACTCTTCTAATCAGTTAAAAAATATGTAGGTGGCGCCCTCTACAAGTAGGAGTCATATTGACATCAAAATCAAATTTCTCATGTTAAAACAACTCCCAGATACCAATTTTCATCGGAATATTGACCTTCCTTCAGAAAATATTTGGGCAAAATCGAAATAAAACTGGTACTTTTACACTCTGTATCTCCGAAACTACGCATTTTAGGTTATATAATTTATAAGAATTTTTTTACTTATTTTTATCTGCAGAATATGTCTGGAATACAGTTCCGACCACCCTGTATATAAAAAGGAACTTTATTAAAATAGACAAAACGAAGTAACATTCATACTAAGTAAAAAAATACAACTCTTGTTGCAATAAATATAGCAAACACTAGGTATAAAGTCGAATCATTTTAGATCGGGCATTTTATTTTTTCCCGAAAATAAAAACCGAAATAAAAATGAAACTTCTACACCCAGTATCTCCAAAACTAGACATTTTAGGACATACATTTATACAAACTTTTTATTTGCAGAATATACAGTCGAAATTTCCGGAATAGGTACAGTTCGGATCACCCTGTATTTTAATTACTTGAATAATTTATATTCCTATTGTTCCTTTAAGTTCTATATAGGTATATTCTTTTTTGTATAGTAGTTCTTAACAGTAAAAATCAAAACATAAATGTAACAGTTAAAAATCGCAAGACAGTGAATTAGCAGTGTTGTGTTTGGAAGAACAAGGAAGACCTGCAGGATCCCGTCGACACAAATCACCAACCAATGGTGGTTGACAAACTTACAAATAGGAACCTGAATAGACAACAGCCATTTCTAGCCATTTCACTGTGAAAATATCACAGGTAATTATTTTTAGTTCATACTTAAAAGTTCAACTCAGTACAACTTTTGAACAAGAACACCTTTTGATGAATTTGTAGCTACAAAATTTTTCGATTTTAAGCCATATATCTACTTTGAAGATAAATATTTAAGTTAACTTTAGTATTTTACCTGCAACGCTTCTTATAGGTTCCAACAACGGTTCGGGCACAATCGGATCATCTTTCGCGTTGACAAAAATAATCGGTTTCTCAATATTTGACAAATAATTGCCACTCGAACTCCATCTAAAAATAAAAAAAAAACCATAAATAAATTCAGAAAAAAATAAAACCTTTACAATATAATACCTGTATAGCTCAGTAATTGTGCTGAATCCGTGTATCTTTCTAGTATAGGCTTCGTCTAGTTCAGGCAGTGTCGCAGCAGAAATGATCTCGTTCTCAACAAGTTGAAACTTCTGTTTAATTTCCTCGCTCAATAATACTTTGCTGTGTCTCAGAATGATATTTTTTAGATTTTCGGTCATGACGTACAGGTAGAAACGACGGAAGTTCTGCCAATTCAGGAGCCACTTTGTACCCCTATAAAAAAAATTAAGTTACATTTAAAAGTGTATTTTACTAGTTCGAAAAAGTAGCAAAATAAGCGTTTGGTATTTAATATAATAAATATAAAATACAACAATAAAATATAAAATAATTTTTTTGTAGCACATTTTTAAACAACTTCTTTATTTTAAAGATATTGATGGTCAAACATCAACAAAATATTCCTTATGTTTGGACTAAATTTTCTCGAAAATAAAGACATAATTTAAAATTCCGTTAGAAAACGGAAATAGATTGAAGTTTTGTGATTACAGTGATATATAATTTATTATGGTTTTGTAACAAATTGCTCGCTATGTTATGGCAAATGCTGAAGCTCTGCAAACTTTAACCAAGCCTTAATCAAAGCACGTGTTTGGAATTTTGGACGTGGCTTAATACGACAGGATCCGGCTAAGCCTTAGGCAGATTTCTGAAATATAATATACATTTCCTTCGGCCACACATCCGCTTTACCCGACCCATAAGATCGACCCGAACAGTACAGCGTAATAGTCTCTTTTAACTTTTGAGTCTTTTACTTACTCAATAGCGTCGTATCCTTGACATATCGATATTCCGCCGATAATATTGGGATGTTTTACTTTTTCTAGTTCTCCTAAATATTTTGTAACTAAATTGCCACCTAGGCTAAATCCAACGCAGACTAGTTTTGTGTTCGGATGACGATTGATCAAATTCAGGAGCATAGCGTGGAAGTCATCTGTATTTCCTGCAACAATAAATAAAATACTAAGTAATGTATATGCTGGATAAAAATATGGAGTAGAATATTAAATATGATTTAACTAAATTGGTGATCTATCCTAATTTTAATTCAGTACTTTTTTTTATTTTAATTTTAATTTTTATTTTAATTCAACTAAGTAATGTATATGCTGGATAAAAATATGGAGTAGAATATTAAATATGATTTAACTAAATTGGTGATCCATCCTAATTTTAATTCATAGTTTGTTAAATGAAAGAGACAAAAATAATTTACTAATTAAACAATGATTATGAATTTCCACTGCATTTATTTTAATAGTATAGTATATTTAGTGTTTCTAATATTCGGGATCGGGATCCCGTTTTGAAATCCCGGGATTAGAACCTCGCGGGATCCCGGCATTGACTATCAGAATGAGAAATTTAGTCTAAAAAAATACTTAATAAAAAAATGCAGATACATACATATATCAAAAAGAAAATGAAAAAAGAGCTTTATTAAAATAGACAAAACAAAGTAAAATTCATATTTAGTGATTAAAAAAAATCAAATCTTGAAAAAAAATATAGCAAATTCGGAAATATAACTTTTAGATATTTACGTTCCGTTTAGTACAAATAAAATATGATGTTTTCAAGACTAAAGTGTATAGTTGAATCATTTTAGATTGGGCATTTAAATCTTTCGAGATTTTCAAGATCCCGGGATTTATTATCGGGATTTCGGGATCCCGGTTTGGAAACCCTAAGTAAGTCTATTGCTGGTTTTTTTTATAGACGGGAAACGCCTTGGCGAAAATATTGGTGTGTGGGGATCTCCCTCATGCGAGAAGGCCTACCTACTAAAAACCCATCTGTGCACTAAGCTCGCCAATTCCGGTACCGCAGAAGGCATTTCATCGAGATTAGACTTATAATAATACTTATCATTCTTCTATGTTGGTCTTGTCTGTACCCAAATCTTGTCTTTTTCGCCCTTCCCCTTTTTCTTCATAATGTTCCTTAACATGCTGCAAATCGATATACACCGCGCTATAGACCCACAGAATATTATCACTGGATGCCGCCCAGCATTAGAATTTTTGTCCATCTCTCTAAATCTTTGGTCATCACTTGTCCCTTGTCACTGTCAGATCAAATCAGATGTTTTGGATTTATTTATCCTTTGTTTTGGTTATTGAAATTTTATAATTATCAGATAAAATTTCGTAGTTAAATTGGTTATTTTGATGTGGATCGCAGTGTGCAATTCGTTCATTTAATGGTGGGAATTTGTGAATAAGTTCGTTCATTGACCGGATATGAAATATGACAATGAAAAAAATATTCTAGAACGTCGTTTTTTTATTTATGCCTTTTTGTGAGTTGGACTAGTCGAGATATATAGTTCTCTATCTATATCCTGGAGGGAGATTTCCGGTTGAAATCTGGTTTTGTGAAGGAAATCGAATCCTTGCATCACTTCTTGTGTATCCACCGACTGAAGAGTGTCGTCGTGAAGAACTGGCTGCCGTTTCGTGAAGCATTTCCTGTTGGTAGTTAACAGGTCTTCCTAGAGAAGGATTAATGCTTCCGAAACACATTTGGTTAGAGACGTGGTTGGATTTTGTTGATTTGTATGGACCGCCGACCAATTTCCGTAAGGGATTAAATAGCCAAATTTTCCGACCGATATTCCGATTCCACGTGCCCAAGAAGTCCCCGATAGTTCAAGAGCAAGAAGACCGATCCAGACCGTAGAACAGAACAGTCCAGAATTCCATCCGTTCCTGTTGCCCGTGTGTAGAGTTACCCGTTGGACATCATAAACCCTCATTGAGGTTTTTTTTATGTTCACCTTTTGAAGTCCTACACCTGGCCGGCATCCGTACGTCTGCTGAAATCCGTGGGCTCCAGTGACAGTACACCGAGCTGCTGTGCACCGCCGTAGCCACCCTGTAGCTATACACCGTAGCTCAGCCGGAGGAACTTCCGAGTTGTTTCAAGATTGTACATCGATTAGAGTAAGACTGTTTAGATTTAGTTTGATATTTGTAATCTACCCAGGATTTTGTACTTAGTTTAAGTAAGGGGGATTATGACGTCATACTTTTAGTTTTATTGATTTAAATTTCATTTCACTTTACATCTATTTTCATTTACCTTCAATTACATTTCATTCATTTCTTTTCTTTATATAATAACTTTTTATATATCCTATTTAACTTTTTAATATTTCAATATATTGCTTAAATATTTTTAGTAGTATTATTTACAGTCTAGTCTCATAGTTAAGTTAGAGTCACTTAAGTACAAATAGTTATAGAATATTTGAAGTTCATGATAGTTGCACTCAACAGTTCGAGGTTAGTGTTGAAGTCTACTTAATAGTTACATCTTTATTGCCGAGTTCATAGAGTATAATCTCGTGGCGCCCTTTTATTAATATCTTTGAACCCCGACCACCCGGCTGTTAAAATTAAAAAGCTAGTGGCCTCTATGCAACTCATTCAGATTAAGTAAACTTTGTGTTTTATTGAACTTCGAATTAGAAAGGGCGTGGCACCCAGTACCGCAGAAGGCATTTCATCGAGATTAGACTTATAATAATACTTATCATTCTTCTATGTTGGTCTTGTCTGTACCCAAATCTTGTCTTTTTCGCCCTTCCCCTTTTTCTTCATAATGTTCCTTAACATGCTGCAAATCGCTTCGATATTCTCGTTCAATGATGTTAGAAGGTTTCCGACGTTACTCTAATAATCTTCGTACCACATACTGTTTCTGTGTTTTCCCGTATATCTTCGTGCGCGTGACACTCAAATAGTGTATGGTTAGCCGAGTCTGACGCCTCGCAATATCAGCTTGTAGGGGAGTCAGCCTTGCGTGATGTAGTAGTCCGTGTTTGCCTAGTCGTAGTTTATCCAATCTTTGATATTAAGTACGAAAGTCATTGTCCACCTGCTATATGCTTCCCATCGTGTCTGCCATTGCTCTAGTACAATGTTTTTGGCCTCTTTCCGGAAGGAGGTTCCGTTTTTATATATTTGGTTTCTTTCCTCAATCGGTAGACTGATAGGAGGTATCTTCGCAAGACACAGTACCGCTACTGTTGGACATGTGCAGTATGCCGATGCAACCCTGAGTGCTAACTTCCTGTTTATCCTTTCTAGCATGTTTTCGTAATGTTTGAAGCGCATGGATCTGTCCCAGATTGGCGATGCGTAAAGTATGGTCGCATGAACTACCGAAGCTAGAAGTCTTCCTTTTTCCGCGCTGGGTCCTCCGATATTGGGAGTGATTCTCGTCAGATGCTGGATGATGCCAGTCGTTTTATTCCTGATTTCTGTGACGTGTGAGTTCATTCGCATGCCCGAGTCGAACCAAACCCCCAGGTATTTAACCTTCTTTTAATGTCTATTGTTGGCGTGTGGGCCCAAGTTATCCGTACTAATTTCCTAATATCATGGACCCATGGAAGTGGCAACGTTGGCACGAAGTGAAGCAGAATTAAAGTTTAATCGCAGTGTAAAATTTTAAGTTTTTTAGTGTTCCTCGTTGAAGAAAATTAGAAAAAATTGTTGAAGATAGTCTACAAAATTAAGCCTTAACCCTTAAATATAAAAGTGCTTATCTATAACCGTCAAATATCCTTAAAAGTAAAATTTTGGTATAAAAAGCCACGCCGCGTTCAAACCTTTTGGACTCTGAACCATCACACGTCCATTATAATAATACATATTTGACCCAGTTTTTGAACTACAGCGGCTCGACGTTGCCAAGTGCAAAAAACATTCTTTTTGACTAGGATATATCCTGATATTTTCTTAAATAATGGTTCATACGGTAATGTTCAAACAATTCGAAGAGATAAAATTCTTGATACAAAACAGCAAACAAGAGCTAAGAGAAGATATTAAATCAGTCAGAGAAGATTTAGCGATACAAACAGAAACTTTAAAAGAGAACATTACTGTATTAGAAAGTAAACTCAACGACTTGGAAAGCAGGGTTCAAATAATAGAAAAACTAGCTAGAAAGAATAATCTAATAATCTTTCTTTCTTTAAAGTCGAATGTCATTTAAAGAGCTTGTATTCTGTTCAAAAATGGTTCATAAAAATTATTTACAATAAAAAGAAAACTTTCTCTTCAAACGTTCTCTTTAAGCAGGCGCATCTACTGGATATACGTCAGCTATACTGCCTAGATGTTTTAAAATTCATTTATCAGGGGAAAATATCTATTGAACATGTTGACCATGAATATGAAACTAGACATAAGGCGTTTTATCCTAGTTTATGCTCTAAAACTGTTAGACAAAGATCTTCAAAGTTTTTTGCACCTCGATTATACCGACCTTCCTAAACGATGTTAAAAGTTACTCTGGGGTATGCAAATGGATGGTTGATCGAGGTAGAGATATATTTAATGACCTAGTTAACTTAAAATATACAAAATAAATTTTCATAAGTGCCAGTGAACATTATATATTGTCATAATTAAATTGTATTCCTTTCCACATACAAGTGATTCTATTACTTTGTGGTAATTCTTTTAACGTTTATTTTGATTCTTAAAATTTAAATAGTCTTAGTTAAATTGTACTTAGATAATGTGTATTAGATATAGTAACATATTATGTTGTATTGTACTGTACTATTTTATATCTGTTTTAATTTCAAGAGAAAATGTTTAATAAACGTTATTATTATTATTATTATTTCAAGTTTGGTCTTCATCTAGGTCTCTAAATTCCTCGTGGGTGCCACGCTGTAATTTTTGTGATCCATCTGTTGTCCGTACTTCTTGCCAGGTGTCCTGCTCATTGCCACTTAAGGGATTTGATTCTGTGGATGACATCTATTACCTGGGTCTTTTGCCGAATCCACTCTATTCTTTTACAGTCTTTCTTGGTTATTCCCATTAGCGAGTATAGTTGAATATACAAAAATATTATGTTGTAAGCTATAACAATCTAATCTAATGTAGTTAGACTTAGATTACGTACTTCAGTATTACAAATTTAAATACCATTGTGAGAGCCCTTGCACCACATTACTAAGAATCAAATTTAATTATTTACATATGTACTTGATTAAGTATATTAAGTAATTATATATTAAGCAAGCGATATCAGATATGGACTGATAAAATTAATAATCATTTTAATAAATACTTACCAGGCATAAGAGATACATGTATACTCGGATACATATAAATTTTAACTTTATATTTTAAACTTTTTATATATTTGTTTAAATTGAAAATGGCTTTTGTTGTACTCACCGTAACTAAAAATTCGCGGAGCCGTTACTGGTACCTTGGGGAGGGCTCCCACGTGGTTCAAAACGGCGCATCTGTAGCCATGGTACTGAGCCCAATGAACAAAGGTTCGTATATACACGGACTCTGATGTGTTGCAGATACCAGGACATATGGCTATCGAAATATCGTCTGAAATACAAAATAAATAAAATTAAACTAATTAACCATCTTATAATTTTTTAATAGTTAATTTGAATAAAATCTATACTAATATAAATATAAAATCCTTAAGTGACTGACATACTGATTAATCACGATGCTAAACCTGCTCAAACCACTCAACGTAAGAAGCTCAGTTTTGGCATACAGGTTGATTCTGGGTGTAGAGGTTCAATCAGAAGGGATTTTTCGAAATTCCAGTTCCAAGAGGGTAAAACCACCCCTCAAATATTACAATATTTTTTATTTAAAAAACGGTCAAGTTTCCGAAAAAACGCTTAAACAGGTAAATTTTATTTTGTTTTTTTACATATTTTAAGATTTTTTAAAAATGTATACAGGGTGCTTCGAAAAATCTGGTCATTGATTAATCACGATCCTGCTTAAAGCGCTTGACTTAAAAAGCTGATTTTTGGAAAACAGATTGACTTGAGGGTGTAGAGGTTCGATAAGAAGGGATTTTTCGAAACTCGAATTCTAAAGGGATGAAACTCCCTCAAATATTAAAATATTTTTTATTTAAAAACCGGTGAGTTTTTCGGAAAAACTCTTAAACACCTATATTTTATTTTGTTGTTTTACATATTTTAAGATTTTTTATAAATTTATACAGGGTGTTTCATAAAATATGACCATTGAGTAATCACGATTCTGCTTAAACTGTTTGACGTTTAAAGGTGATTTTTGGCAAACGGATTGACTGTGGGGTGTAGAGGTTCGATAAGGAGGGGTTTTTCGAATCTCAAATTCCAAGAGGGTGAAAACGCCCCTCAAATATTACAATATTTGTTATTCAAAAAACGGTTAGTCTTTCGGGAAAACGCTTGGACAAGCATAATTTATTTGTTTGGGTTAGGTTTGGTTTGGTTAAAAATTTTTAAAAAATCATACAGGGTGTTCCAAAAAGTTGGGTAATTTCTTAACCACGATTCTGCTTAAACTGCTTGACGTAAAAAGCTTATTTTTGGCAAACGGATTTTTCGAAAGTCAAATTCCAACGAGATGAAACTACCCCTCAAATATTACCAAGTTATATAATAATATCGCCATATTGTTTTTTCTCATGCTGACCAGGGTTCGGAAGTAGTTAATTAAGACGTAATTTACCTGATTAACTACGTGTAGTTTTTCTTCAAAAACTACGTCTTTTCCCGTTCATTAACTACATGAAAACTACGTTAATAAACTATGTATTGATATTATGAATAAGTTTTCTTTATATGAGATGTAATAGAGATAATATGATGTAAATATTATATTTAAAGCGATATTTCTTCTGTTTTCTTAAATACATTATGTGTTTTTAAAGCTTCAACTTATTATAACCTCACCTCAAACCTTTGATATTTGAAAGTTACATACATAGGTTACATAAACTACACTCTCTACATAAACTACATTAACTACATGTAATGTAGATTATGTATTTTTTAAAAGTAACATGTATTTTTCCGAACCCTGATGCTGACATAAATGTGAGAAAATTTTATCCAGTTTGTACGTTAATGGAAATTCTTGCTTTGCTTTATCATCACCATTACAAATGATTAATTCGACGCGAACGAAGTCGCTGGTACACGCTAGTAGAAGAATATATTAATAGTATAATTATTATATTCTTCTTAAGTATAAGAATAATTAATAATACTTATAATGATTATAACCTATCACGTTTCGATCTTTTAAAATGTTTCTTTTTTTCCTTGAAGTGATATATACCGTATGATCGAAACGGCGTCCAGTTGGCTGGGAAATGAACATCGATGACGTTTCCCATATAAATTTACATATAAAATGACAGCGATCTTCATTCCATAGCCATCGCTGACGCCGTATTTTCTCGATCATACGGTACTTTTTTAATACAGTAAAATTAGTAAAAATAAAAACAACTTTTGCAAATAAAGATTTTCAAATACTTATTTAAATGTATACCCTCAGTAAGTAGATGTCCACTCCTCGGAGGATGAATACAAATTTTGAAAGATCTTATAATTTAGTTAATTTAGTTCTTAGTATACAGGGTGTTTCAAAAAACATGTGCCATCTCTTGTGGAGAGATTCCTTAAGAAAAATGTGATTTATTTTTCATATTAACATAGGACCGATTCCGCTTTGTTTCGTAGCTACAGTGTTAAATTCTTAATATGTTTTCGATTTATTATACTTTTCTTAAGTACTGTCAGCGTTTCGAATGAAATTTTGAGGGTGAAAGTTACTATAAATGACACATATTTTAAAGCTAAAAGTGTCGACATATTTACCAGGGACGTGCATATAGATTATCACTGGAATATTTTACTAAAAAAAAGCATGTACGCCACTGACTTTTTTGTCTTTTGTTGTCTCTAGATATTTTATCTATTTCGGCCTCCTTGGTGAGATAAACGCAATTTTATTACTGTGCCTTGATCCAAGTCTAATAGCAACCTTTAAAAAATTTAATATCACTAACTTGCGAAATTTTTAAATAAGTACTCATTGATTCCTCATCAAAAAATATGAAAAAAAATCCTATAAATGATTATGGAAATGCATAGTTTTAGAGTTACAGTTAAACTTTTTAAAATTAGTTTTTTTTTGTAATTATCTTAAAAGTGTATATATCATTATTTTTTTATTTGAAATTGCTGTAGGTTGGACTAACAGTAATAATATTTAATAATAAATTACAGGACACCCTGTATAAGTGTCTAATTGAACTTTGAATTTCGAACCTTTTACAATATTGCTTCAAAGCATTGATATATGCAGTGTTGCACAAAAAAAACGATCCTCAGTTGTAATTTAAGGTAATCTACATATTTTTTAAAAACAAATTTTAAATTTAACTTTTCTGCAATTGACGTGTATCTATAGTTATCAGACAACCTTTCCACTTTAATGACACTTATAATTAAGTATAATTAAGCGGTCAATGGTATCTTAGCGACAAATACTTTTTCACTTGCCCAAATTGATAAATTCTTATCGAATATTAAGTTTTATAAAAGATATTATTCCATTAACTCTCTGTTATTATTGTTCTACATGATATACCAAATCAATTTGTAAACAAGGATATGCTCATTAAATAAATCGGTAATATTAATAAATTTAATTTCAGGATATTACCCAGAATCTTTTATAGAATAAATAAAAATGGAATTGGGGGGCGAGCCAATGATACGCGCAGGACATTTATGATGAATGAACCTTACGATTACAGCAAAATATTTCTCGAAAAGTCTCAAAAGAATATAATAAAACCATATTCTTTAAGAGAGCAATAGATAGAATTCGTTGGCAACATACTAAGGGCTGGCAAAGGTTAGTCTTGGGTCGAGATTTTCGTATGTAAGAGTACAATGCGTTTATAATGTACTGAATAAAGAGAGGACAGTAAACACGTTGCCAAACATATGAAATAAACCGAGAAACTGTGCACATCGCTAAGAGACGTGGAAGGGGATATAGCAGATTTGTCGCAGTTGACCGGTCGACCCAATCAATACCTCTGTCAGTACTTAAAGTTCTAGGAAAAGGTGTATCTCATGCGTTCAGCTTCACGATTTAATTACGTCTCGTGATACTTAATTTGTTCATTTATTAACGAATCGTTGTAATTTTCCCTATAGCTTGAATTTTTTTAACTGCAAGCTAGAATCACTTGCATTTTTGCAAAAATAAGTGGAATTGAGTAGGTGTTCGATAGTGGTCGCGCTATTAGAACTCTGAATTCAAAAATCTATATCTCGAATTCTATTAGAAATAATAGATTGTAGTTTTTCAAGAACTTTGTTAATATTTCCGCTGTATTTTCTTTGTAGACAGTATGTGAAAATCTTTATCAATAAAAAAATTACACGATTGCTGAAAATTGCTATGCTCTAAAAGTAAATGGATGGATTGTTTACAATTTTTGAAAAGAAAAAACAACCTTATCGAATTTTTCTTATGTAAACATATTGTAAAATATCCGATCTTGAAAATAAAAAAAGGTCCAATATCTAAAATGGTTCTTGAATTATAGCTAGTTATGTGTTAAAAAGTTGAGTTTTTAAATTATCGCGATTACTGACGTTTTCTCGTTATAAAAAAATGACACCCTAACGATATCCCTATAATTCCATTTCAGATACTCAGAAACATGTTTAATGATTTTATCTAGTTATCTCTTGAAAAAAAAGTCATTTAAAAATAAGCGGTTTGCGATCGTGATTTTACTTTACTTGATAGGGAAAGGCGTATCGGCAACGCCGCAACAGCACACCGTCGCGCGTCGCGTCGGTCGGTCGCATTTCTCTCACTCCGACTTAATAAGATCCCTATGCGATTTACTTCCACACATGTAAATGCCGACCCAAAAGTAACAGTTGCCAGCACGGTATAAACTCATGGTACTTGCTCGAAGTCGCGGACGCTCCGCTCCATCTGAAAACGTTGTAAATGTACTTTATTACTGCGTTTTCATTTCGCCAAAATGTCTGAACCTGATTGAATATTATCTTTACAAAAAATAGTTGCTATATTTTTGTCCAGCAAAAAATTTAAAATGTATTTCCATTTGACCATAGTGTGATGATAAAAAATTGTATACATATTAAACAAAGATTTGAGTAAAATACAATAATAATAAATTATAAACTACTCGCTACTCGCCAATTTTAAGTTTTCAATAAAATTTTCAAGAATCAAAAGAATTAAAAGTTGCTATAATTTTGGCCACTACTGTATATCGTTGAAAAGCAATTTTATTTGAGTTTCGATTTTTTAAATAATATACATAGACTTGAATTTAAAATAACAAAAATTTGAGCAATATTATAACGAACGGAAATAAATACGAATTTTGCTCTCCCTGTGGAATATCCAATCGGTTGATTTAGACAGATCGAATATATCGACTTTCATTAACTTATAGCGCAATTTTATATGTAAAAATCCAAGTTTTCAAAAGAAATCACCCTATATACTACCACGTCATAATACCTACAGTCAAACGTAAATACTACAACGTCATAATACCTACAGTATGACCAAAATGAACTTTTGTAAGCCTTATTTTTGAGAAATACCATTTGACATTGACGAAACCATAACTTGATAATTCAAGGTATGTTGACAGTTGGCATTAGCCTGTTTTTGCATTGCTACATGTTCAATTTTGCACCACCCGGTATAAATCAAATATCATACAAGCGTGTAAGTTTCAAAACATTTACATATCCAAATATTTAAATAAAAAGATTATTAAAAAAGGCAAAAAGAAAATACATAATTAGTTATATGGTTTGGAATTTCTAAAATAAAAATCTTTACTGGTAAAAAACTAGGTATTACTTGTATATGTACTAATTCTAGTAGAATCAATACATTTTACTATAGATTTACTAGACTTTTTAATAAGAAATATGTATCAAAAAGTACCTAAATGGTTCTAGTAATAAAAGTGAATATCCACAAAATAAAAGAATGACAAAAAAGTTAAGTAATTCTGTATGTTCAGAGAAGTATTTATAACTCGGATATATAGAAACTTTGTTCTATTTTAAATATAAAATATAAAAAGTCGCCAGTATGATGATAACAAGTGGTGTGATCTTGCATGTGGTCTCAATAAACAAGTGACGACAAATATTACTGATATTCAGAGAAATATAATATATAACAATGATATTTATTTTAGATGAAATGACTTAGTATTATAAAATTTTTAAAAAGTAAATAAAATAATAGATAGAATAGGTATATTTATTTAACAGTGATATCGTCCTATTGCTGCCAAAAGTCACTAACTAACATTTTTCCGAACAACCAAATTCAATCACTAACTATGTTTTGAATCGGAGAATCGATTGCAAAAGTCATTAACTACGATGTCTGGCTATTTATGTTTTATTTTAATACCGAATAGTTACTAACTATAACATCTTTATGCAATGCAATTCTTCTTTAGACACATTTTTCTCGGAAGTAATAAAAAGAAAGTTAGTGACTTTTGGCAGCAATGGGACGATATATTCTCGAGAAGCGGTCTGTTCTAAATCAAACTCAATTTATTCTAAAGCTATATATTAATGTTCGGATTGTCACGGGGTTTCTAACAGGACACTGCCTCCTCAACGAACACCTCAGTAGGCTAAAACTGAGGAACAACACCAGAACACCTTATCACTGAGTGCGCCGAGACGACGACCGTTCGTGCCATGAACTTTGATACGGCTGATGTCGAGGATGGATAGCTGGCCTCTGTGCAGCCGTCTCAGATACTGGCTTTTGTTAAAGCCCTGAAACTGTATGATGAGTTATAACTAGTTATAACTCAAAAAAAGGGAACACACAATAGATCTGTAAGGTCGCGGTGATTAACTCCCCTCCTAAACATTCTACATCTCTTCAACAAAGCTCTATATTTGGACATTGTTTATGTTTTCTTCGGGAGCGTAAAGAATTAGAGTTATAAGGGTATATAAACAAAACACACCAAAAGGATTGCAAAACAAACATGAAAAATCTCTTTAACATGTACTGTACTATCGTTGATTGAAAGAATTGGAAAGATACGCAACCTAATGGGCAAATTCGTTACAAGGCGTGATTTCCCCTTACGTCTCAAGTGCTGTACGGTGGAGTCTCTACTCGTTTTGTAGCCAATGCATAAAACACTCATTTTCTTTCATTCGGCTAGCGATGGCATATGAAGACGGTGTGAACTAAAAGCGACAGTGTTGCCATATATAAAATCTGTAATATCTGTAATACGTTTGACGATAATATCTTTGGATGACAAATCTGTGTTTATGTATTGAGAATTTATTCAACAAAATAAAAAATTCTTTTATAGGTACTGAATATTTCGTATGATCGAAAAAAGTCGTTTAGTTGGCTTGAAAATGAGGACTATTGACATTTACATAATATTTTACATATGAATTAACTTGCTTTCCAAACCAACTCTGGCGCGGTTCTTTGTTTAATCATATAATATTATACAGGGTGGGCCACTGAAAACTTACAATGGCTATAATTTTTAAACCAAAAAAGATATAAAAAAAAATAAAAAAACCGTTTCTATAATATCGAGGGGGAATACATATGACGTATTTTTTGAACCACCCCGATCTACCCCTTAGGAGGCACCCCTAATCACTTGAAAATCTTAAATGGCAACACCCCACTTGTGGCGTCTTTTTGGAAAGCTCATGAAAAATGCTAAATGATGATCATAAAGTTTTTAGTGTGAAATTGAAAAACTACCCTTACACGAACAATTAGGTGGACATTAATAAAAAAGGTGATTTTTTCAGCATAAGCTACAAATTGGGACCCAGCTAAATGACGCAAATGAAGTATTTTTCAAACCACTCCAACCCACCCCTAGGTGGCACCCCCTAACTTCTAATCTCAACATAGCGATACCCCACTTGTGACACTTCTTTAGAAAGCTAATTGAAATTGCTAAACGATGGTCATACAGACTTCAACTTTAATTACTGGTTAGTGACAAGAAATGTAGGTGTGACAATTTGAAAGAAATTTAAAATGATAATTTATTTTAATAATTGCTCAAAATGACAGCCGTTTTGTTCCATACAAAAATACAAACAATTTTCAAATTCTTCTCTCACTTATTGGAAAGTCTCTCTCGGAATATTTCGACATGCTTCAGTTCTCCTCTGCCGCAATTCTTGCAACGAACCTGGTTTTGTCTTGTAGACTATGCATTTAGTGTAATTCCACAAAGAAAAGTCTAAAGGAGCGAGATCAGGTGACCTTGGCGGCCACTCGATTAGACCCCTTCTGCCAATCCATTGCCTTGGATAATATTTATCCAACCACCGCCTTGTGACAATAGAATAATGCGAAGGGGCTCCATCTTGCTGAAAGTGTATGAGGTCTTCATTAAGAGTTATAATAAATTTCTTTGTACCAGCTTTTTTCTCTCGCTCGTTCATGGATACAAAAATAATTCATTCTATTAATTTTGACACGTTTTGACATTTTTGTTTTATTTTTAGGCTCTATTTTTTTCGTTCTTTTTTATGACAGTCGTTCAGCATTTTTTATACGCTTTCCAAAGAGGTGTCACAAGTGGCGCTATCTTGAGGTTAGAAGTGAGGGGGTGGCACCTAGGGGTGGGTCGGGGTAGTTTGAAAAAAAACTCATTTAGCTGGGTCCCAATTTGTAACTTATGCTGAAAAAATCACTTTTCTCATTAATGTCCAACTAATTTTTCGTGTAAGGGGTAGTTTTTCAATTTCACCCTAAACACTTTATGATCATCGTTTAGCATTTTTCATGAGCTTTCCAAAAAGGCGCCACAAGTGGGTTGTTGCCATTTAAGATTTTCAAGTGAGTAGTGGTGCTGCCTTAGGGGTAGGTCGGGATGGTTCAAAAAATACGTCATATGTATTTCCCCTCGATATTATAGAAACGGTATTTTTTATTTTTTTGATATCTTTTTTGGTTTGGTTTGGTTTGGCCAGGCTTCAAATGTATTAAACTAGTTGAAGCCTGGCGCATCCGCCACGACATCAGAAAAAAAATACTTTTTATTTTTTTAATTAAATGAAAAACAAAAAATCCGGCGACGACAGTTTTTAGAAGAGCCAATTAGCTATCTTTTAGTAAAAAAAATCAACTTTCTAGAGCAAGTCGTTACTTCAGTAGAGACGACACAGATAAACATTAGCATTTTATATAATGTCGATTATTTAATCATAGAAAATCCGTATTATTAACGTACTGTATCCAAAATCGGAAAATCTACGGATTAATCAGTAGTTCTGGCAACACTGTCTCCGGCAACGACTCTGTATACTGAAAGCAGAACTACGGTACAGTATTCTATATCCGCTGCGCGACAAACTACTATCAGCGCACAGCGGCGCAGAGCTAAACTAAATCTGGGACAAATTTTGCGCATCTTTTTATTTCTTCTATCGACGGTACTATTATATATCACCTAAGATAGAATTTACTACAAAATTAAATGCATATTTTTTAGGTAAAGTCAAAATTTTTTGGAATTTGACTGTTGTTATAGCGAAAGCTTGTTGCGCAGCAATTGTTCCCCAGATAATATGCGTTTTGCGTATCTTTTTTTACCGTGTGTAATAAGTTACTTACCGCACGGATAGATAGTGCATTCCCGCCTGTTTTACACAGTGATAGAGGTAAAAACGATTGCCCTTTAAGACCACCAGATTGCCCTAAAAAAGGATAACTTTTATTGAGGTTTAATGCTCAGTTAAACGTTTGTTTGAATTTCGCGAAGTGATTTCCGCCTAAAGTATGTGTATTCCCTGCGTTTTGCTTACCATGCGTAATAAGCTATTTGTAGACCGTGCGTTTTACATAGTGGCTGTAGGGAAAAGTTACTGCCTTTTAAGACCCCAGCCTCGCATCCTAAAAATGGATAACTTACTTTCATTAATGTTTAACATTCAGTCTCTAAAACTGTTTGTAAAAGTTCGTAATGAAAGATAACTGTTCTAGTTTGATTTAACGACTACATTTATAAATCCGAGGTATACTGTCTGGACAATTAAGCAATTAACTTCGCATCTGTAGAAAGGTACATATTTATAATATACTTATAAATAATATTTGAGAGAGTGTCACAGATAAACTCTGCATCATATTTAACTTCTTTTTATTTATTGGCTTCGGCAATAATTTCTGCTTTGATTTATATTAAAAATTACATCAGAAAATTTCACCTGTTGCTCTCGGATATCTGTCCAATTTCAAATATAAAGTAATACATCCCTAAAAAGGGTTCTTGGCAGAATTTTGAAAAATTTTATTTGAAAAAGTCGTTTCTTGTTTTATTTTACATAAATATGCCAATTTTCAGCCATCTAGATGAAAAAAAATGTAATTTTTAACCAGTAGTAGCCGATTATCGTGATAGAAGCAAAAATTACTGATGAGAGCCCCTTTAACAGTCAAATATTTATCTAGTATATACTTAGTTAAATATCCATAAATAATCTATAATAAATTTATACTTTTTTACTAAAAGTTACGTTGCATGATGCCAAACTATGAATAATTCTTCGATATATCGAG